AAGCATAGGGCGTATCAGGTAAGGGGGAAGCATAGGGTGTACAAAACTGGACTGAAACGTGAATCTCAAGGGAACCACTCAGGGCCGGCTCTACCTTTGCAGGGCTCCTAGGGTCCCCCCTACCAAGAAAACCTATGATCATTTCACATGCTCTGCTAGCCAGGTAATTCAGAGGTGCTAGGCCAGTGTTTCTCAGCCTTTTTTGCACCATGTCCCAAACTTTACCATGACCCTACGTCAAGTACATGTTTAAATTAACGCTATGATTAAGCACGCGGTGAACTTTTTTGCAATTTACGCCAATCAATGCCTGTCGCACAAATCTGACTGGATGTGCCAGTGAATTTTAAATTAAGCATCTGTGGTTTGATTTCTTGGGTTGATTGAGCGTTCGCTAGTTTTGCACTAAGCATTTGCAGACCCAAGACCCCTTTATATAGGTTATTTTTAGGATTGCGGCTGGGAAATCTGATCGTGGATCAGCATCGGAGCTTGCTGGTTTTAAAATGCTTACATTTCCAACTCTGCCTCGCGACTCTTTCAGAATTTGTCGCGACCCAATTTGGGTCACGGCTTGAGAATCGCTGGTGAAGGCTACTGGCTATTCTGCCTGTAGCTACAGCAGGCCGTACGACCACTTCAGCATGACATTCTGCAGCACTTGAATATAACAGAACGACATCGGTGGTCTACTGCCAAACATCAGGTATTGAAACTTTGCCACCCATACCATGAAGTAGCCGGCCGGACTATATCCAAATCAGTTTCTGATGCGTCATGTATCATCTAAATCTTCCCAGCTTTTTGATGATTTTTTTTTTCTAACAAGGTCTGGCGCCTAGTTTTAAATGACAACCAGCAGCTAATAGGTCACTGACATCTAAATAATTCATAACCTACAACTCAATACTATCGGGCTGGGGTAAAGGGGCTCAAAAGTTGAATTTCAAAACATCACACTCTTTCAACTCGCGAAGTTTTCTCGAGGTGAGAAGGTCAAAATATTTAAGTGTCCTCTGGCAACTCAGTCCATGAATAATGCACCATCGGGGTGGGGTGGGGGGGAATCTAGGGAGAGTTCCTTAACTTGTGTGGATTATTGATGTTTATGCGCAATATCTTTTTCCTCAGGTAAAATGATCCCTTTGTATGGGTATTTCTCAAATGACTCCTTGTTGTTCAAGTCTGGGTAGCCCTTAGGCAAAATAAGCCTAATTTACACAAGTCTCTGTTGGGGCAAATTATTATAATAACAAATTTTCTTTAAACATAAAACACACAAAATCAAAAACAAGAAAGGGGAGGATCGCCGGTCTCTTCCGCACTTTTAGGCAGCTCTTTCAGATGGTGTTCTTGCTCTTCGTACCTCTTTAAACACTCCTCACCCAGGGGAACCCAAAGCACTGTTGGTGTAGGATTATTATCCGACTGACAGGGGACTTGCCTGACTGACAGTCTTGTCTGAGATTATTTAATCTCACGCTTAGTGAAGAGAGTGCAACTATGAGGTATTACAATAATATAGAAATAAAAGATCTATTAATAAATAGGAATTGTGAAATGCAGGAGGGTGCAGGTATTTAGCCCACTCTGGTCCGGAAGGAGATAGAGAAGCCTCCACTCGCAGGCTGACAAGCAGCTTCTTGCTGAATTCTGAACACTACTGCTAATCTTAAGCAAGTTCTTCCCATAGCTACAGACTGCATTGCCCCACCTCCACTTATTTATATTACCTGTAGTTCATTCATCCATCCATATTCCATTCCCGCTTTTCCTATTCAGTGTCGCAGGGGACTCCTGGAAACCGCGAGCACAAGGCAGGGAATAACCCTGGACGGGATGCCAAGCCAACGCAGGGAACATACAGTTATTTACACTATTATATATACACTGTGCAGAAATTTTCTCTTTACTGTAACCATAGATGCTGTTTATACTCATTAATTACATCATGCCATGTATACCACTGTACAGCTGTTCTAAGTAAGTTTGATTTGCATGTGAGAGGGAGACCCACAGAAACATCCTGGTAGATATATGGTTTTACTCGTTTAAGTTAAAGAGCAGAACAGTTGTTGGGACTGTCATGAATGTTGACGCAGTACCAAGTGACAGTGAGCCTGGAGCCTGTCCCTGGAAGTGCAGGGCACCCCCCAGATCGACGGCCTGTCCATTGCAGGGCGCACACTGGGGGCCATTTAGAGTCATCAATTAACCTAAACCACATGTCTTTGGATGGAAACTGGAGTTCAGAGGAAGGCCACTCAAATGTGAGAGCATGTACACACACACACACACACACACACACAAAGCTGTGGGTACAATCTTGAATTGCTGAATGCATTTTTAAAAATTCGAAGAAGTACAAATAGAAAGTAGCTTTTGTTTGACAGAATTACCAGAGAATAATTAACCTTTATTTTTACCATTTATCTGACTCTGTTTTTAATGTGATTTAATGTAATTAAGACGGGAGATGGGAAATGCAAGCTGTAAGCTGCTGTAAAATGGGCACATGGTGGTAAAATTAAAGGAAGATATTTCTTCGAAAAGAAGAGGAATGGTGAGCATTCAATGTTGTTCACCAACCCCCCCTCAGCTATTCATAAACCGGCTTTGGCCACCGATGACCTCCAGTCACTGACAGTAGTAAAGGTTTTGCTACCAATCACAACAGGCTATTTACAAATTCAATTTTCTCTCGCAGTTTATTGATTTCAAGGCCATCAAGTGTTTCTCAGGTACTGCTAAAGATCAGCCATCATTGTGAACATTCCTTGTCCTTGTGCCAAGCACTCTGGTAATTAGATCCAAGTCCACTATTTATCTTTTGCTACGCACCGCTTCTTTACTCTTCAGATTCACTTTGAAATATTTTCTAAGTCCCCATAAAAGTTTTCTTAGAAAAGGCAGCACCTCTGGAAGGTAAACAAGCTTTGTGCCCACTTAGATGACCCTGAGGTGGTCAAGGCCCAGTCTGAACTAATCATCTCAATCAGTGTATTGTTTATAAACCCTGGATGAAACCACTGGAATGCCATAAAAAAGCCACATCATCTAGTTACATAAAAATCATTTGGGTTTGTGCTAGAATTGTTTTCATACACCTACCAGAAGTCTTTAAAATTTTTCATTACTAATGACAACAAAAATCACTGTATTAACTGCACTAAACTATAAATCAATATTTACATTAAAGCTAATAGTTCAGAAATGAGAAATACATAATCTGTACACTACATCCGACTATCATGTAACCTTTATCGTGCCTCGTTGCAGGAGTCTGCTGAAAAATAAAGATAAAATAACTATCACTTTTTGTGATGCACATCAAGATTACCTGGGCTTTTATATTGTTTACAGTTATTGCTATAAATGTTGAATGTTTACGTGGAAACCTGAAGTGCCACAGCCTGCTTCTCAGCAGTGCCTATTAACAGATTCCTACCCATAATGCTCAGCTTCAGAATGAGGTGATCCAAACAGTGTTTCATCCTCCTGACTTAATGCTGTGTGAACATTTTACTGATACATTCCGTGATTCCACTGCTCGTTCACCCACAGCTACAGCTCCTGTATTGTTTTTTGCTGGTTGGGATTGTTCATCGGAGAAACACAATCGTGACACTAGATGTCAGTATTCTCGCTACAGTGAGCCGAGTTGACGATAGTAATGACACGTTAAAAAGCCCATCTTGCATCTATGAGAATATATTGCAGTCGATGTGCCAATATCAGATTCGAGGACGCCACGAACAGTTTTACATTTTTCTTTCGTAAAAGCACGGAATAGTAGCATTTACTTTCATCCTTCCTACGCATACTGATGCAAGATTCTGTAAAAATTTGCTTTCATTTTTAAGTTCCTTTCACTATTCTGAGGACTCATTTAGTCCACGAATTTATAAAATCCATTTTATACTATATAAAAATTCCTTTCTGATTGTGAGTTGTACTTAGTTTGCCTTTATGTACAAACATTCAAAATAAATATTTACATTTAAATGAAGATGAACACCCTCCACCCTAGCCAGCCACCTGCTACGGTCACAAACCCGCAGACGTAAAAAAAAAAAAAAAAAAGAATCAAGAACGGTATGTAACAAAAGCCTGCATAAATAATCATGTCTTTGTTTAATTTCAGTAAAACGCACGAACAAATTAGGGCAGCAACGCCGAGCTGGAAGTTTTTATACAGACTTTAAGGAACGCGCGGCCCAATATCATGTCACGTGTAATACAAAACCAACCAATAGGAAGGGTCGATTAACCCGGAAGTTTGCGGAACGTGAAAAGAGCGCCTGGATTCGAAGTTTGCAAACCAAGTAAGGTCAGTCGCATTATTTTATAAATATAACGATAAAAGTCAATAATACTGATGGACATCACATGCATTTACGAAACGAATAAGTATTTTGAAGCAGAACGTGTATAATTTTTTGTTTATAATGTTCGTGATTTTACTACTGTTTGTCAGCTTGTTAGGGCTTTAAAATATTTTGATTTTTAATGTTAACTCGCCCTTGTATCGCTGGTACTCGTACGGTTTCTCGGAGTTCACGCTCATGGTTACAACTTCGCATTTAAAGAAGTTGCGCTTAATCCTTACTCTGACTGCACATTGTAAATCAGTCGACAAGTCACGGGCGGTTGCCATTACCCAAGCAGTTAATGTCAAATGTGACTTTATGCAAAAGTTTTTAAATAAAGATTTCCTAAATCGCACACGACTTAAGGGGCAGAATATCCCCCGTCTCAATAGCAGCGTAGCGTTAAGAAGGATTATTATTTGGCAACTCATTAGTAACGCTTATGTTTAATTAAAACATGCCGCGCCCACAAGGTGTTTGGCGGTCTGCCTTTTTACATTCCGACAGAGCCACATGAGATATTTCCCAATTAACGGCTCTTCACTAGTTTTAAGACCACTAAACTACACGTGGCTCTCTCCTTTTCTTTATAAAAATAGCCGAAAAGAAGGCTTGTCTATAAGGGGGTGTTATTTCGCAATCCAGCCGGATACAGACGTGTGTATGGGAGGTAGACGCTAAATTGCAGCGCTGGAGTAATTGCCTCCGGGGTCTTTTCTTGCATTGATGGAGTATTTATAAAATGAACCAACCCTAACGATTGACAGAGATCACGTCCGATGTTGATTTATAAATGTATCCGGATTCAATGGCAGTAAGCTGAATTGCGTATTTTTTATTTGAATGCCTGCACGGAAAGGGCACTCTTGTAAATGTGCATGTGATATGCACTGAGATGACCCGCAAAAAGGCGATGAAACATCTCAAAGACACCCATCGCCTTTCAGCGAGTACAGGGAGGCTCCTCCAAAGAGCAGATGTTCGACTTACGGAGCTGATTGCGGGGGAAACGTGTTGCAAACGAAATCAATAGCAGGAAAAAACATCTCTGATTCTGAAAGCGACCTTTATCCATGGGGTTTCTGTCCCAATCCTGCGCGTGATTGCTGACGATCTCGGGCGATCCGTACAGACAAAATAGTCTCCTTCCCCCGGCAGTCGCCTCATACCTTTTTTTGTGCTACCGTCTTTTGAAATGGAAAAGAAGCGCCTCGTAAAGACAAAGCCGAAAGATGAGCAAGTGGCCTACATAATTAAAGCCGAAACTGCTCCTCGCTCAGCTGCTCTCTTTTTGAAGTCGCACCCGGTGCCAGGCATCAATTAGTGTGGAGCTATTTTAACGCAGCTGCTACCGCCCTGTTGGCCCTGCCTGGCGGTACATGTGCGGCCCAAAGGCGCCCAGCTCATCTATCTGCTTCCTGCATCAATGCAGGATTAGGAAATACTTCATTTGGATGCAGTGATGTAAAGAAATCCGCACCCCACTCCTCCCAGCTGCCCCTAGGGATTGACTGGGATCTGTTTTGTCCTTTCCCTGCGACAGGTGGCACAGAATCAGAGTTGAACCAGCCAGTAATGGGTTAAATGAGCCCCGCATGGAGTCTTTATGATTTTATCAATATCTGGTTCAAAACATGCCCCTTCCCTGTCACCTTATAAACTGTCTTTGTCATACTCAACACAAACGGCCTGTTTTCTCCTCCCACATAGATTAGATATTGAGGTTTTATCCTGCATGCTTCGGGTGACAAGTTCTACACAATGTCACTGTTCCCAAAGGGATATGACAGTTGTTGTTGTTTTAAATTACTGTTGTACTGTAGGGTGAATTATAAACCACTGAGACTTTGGTTCTCTGTAAGGTAATTGGTGATTCCCAGTAGGTGGATCACAGCTTGCAAAGCCCAGGTATGATTTTCCCTGACGTGCACAAATGCACAGCCTGAGATGGAGGATAAAAGCCTGTTCTTGTGAGTGGCACAAATGATATGACATCACCCCCATCACTATCCCTGCACGTGTGCACTCATGCTCGTTACACTGCTGCCCTGCTTGGGCAGTAACATGTCAGTGTGTGCCGTCTAATGAATGTGCTGTTTATGACCCCCGGATCACGTTGGCGGTACCGCGTCCCGGGGCCTGGAGGGGGTGCCACTGGATGGATCAGCTGCAGTATCTGGGTATCTGGCTCCACTAGCACATGTGCAGTGACTTTGCAGTGGTTAATGACAACTGATGGCTGCCAGGGTGCTGACCTGTGATCAGCTAATTTACACAAAAATCCAAATTGTAACTCTTTTGGGAGGGAAATGCAAAACTGTTTCTAGATTAGCATGACTTCACCCAACTTCCAACTAAAATGTTCTCCAGAGTGTTAAGTGGTCGGTGGGTCTAACATCTGCAGTTATGGGATTTATGGTGTTTAGTAAAAGAATGGCCTGTACTTAACTTTACATCTAACTCTATATCTTTTTAGTTGCTGTAATGAAAATATGAGCATGCTACGTGTGTGTGTAGGTGGAGATTTGATCCATATGATAAGATGGCAGCTAAGTAAAGCTCATCAGGGGGAACCGGCGTGGTCAGGTGATGTGGAGCCCGTCTGGGGAGGCTGTTTAGTGCTACAGACTACACCCTGGGAAAAGGTCCTCCCACGGTCTAGTAGTAACTGGGGAAAAGCCACACGAAGAACCAGCTGGAGGCGCATGGCCAAAAGTGTCGCTCCAGCTGTGGAACTGACACGCGGGAGTACAGGACGTGCAGGTCGCAGCGGAGTGCGTTTGCGGGCGACTCCCGGAACGGCACCTTCCCGCTTCCCAGATAATGAGAGCACAACGCGAGTAGAGATCGTCGGCGGACGGTTCCCCCAGCGGGCCTGGAAAGGAGCCCCCCCCCCCCCGGCTACCAGTTTGATGAGTCTGCACAGATCACATGCTGTTCTAGGTTGCATAAGTTTTGCGAGTGACGACACGTCATGCTTTGCTGCCTTCGGGAGACGCTGTCTTGGGCTCCTCGGCTCCAGGCTGTAAGTAACACAGCGTCACCTGGTCCCCATGTTCTGCAGTTTTACATCCACTGTCAGGGGGTCAGAAACAAGCCTTGACCATCTGACTCATGGCCACACATAACCATGCAGTTCTGCAGTGCTCTGCAGTGCTGTCCAGTTCATTCATTAGTCCTGCCAGTATACAGCAGGCTGCTTTTTCAATTTGTATGACTTTACGTATTAAACGCATGAACTCACAGGTATCCGATGAACAAAGCCCCCGTAATCCATTCCTTTTGATATCTTCTTAGAGTGCAGGCTGTTCTCTTAAACCAAACTTGCTTCTAACAAAGTCTCTGTGACGATCTTGTGAGAAGTCGCACGCCAGTTCAGCACCTGTTATCCATTACTTTTTACGTGCAATGGCCTTTTGCTGGCGAACGTGGGGGATGTGGAGCTGAAGGGCGCTCGCTCCTGCGCATACAGATGGTTCCATCTTAGCTCGAGGCCCTATACTTTTCTGTTTCTGCAGAAGAAGAGGATGACGCCATATATATTTTTACAACCCAGCCAGATGTTTGGGGCATAAACATTGCTTTGCAGGCACGTGCTGGGCTTGCTGTAGTGCTCTATTAGTGCTTGCCGTTTATTCCCCTTCTGCTACGTAGCAGCTTAACACCTGTTTGCCGTCAGAGGGACCCCCCCCTCCTTCCTGGCTCAGATTAATTGCCGGGGGGACGCTGGAGTCGCATTCGGAGAAGTGGGAAACTCGACCAACTTGGGCTCGTCCGGTATTAATTGGCCAGGCTAACGAATGCTAATTGGACACACTCTGTCAAATAGTAGATTCTCCCTTATTATTTACACAAATGAATGCACTGAGCTGGGCGGGGGGAGGGGGAGTAGTCTTAACTTCCTAAGCGTTCACTTAATTTAGAGGCGACTTATCAGCAGTATGGCAATAAAGGCGGTAATTAGGCGTGGCTTAGCCATCCGCGAGATTGGCGTTAGCGCAGAGGGGCAGGGGGAGGCTGTTGACTGTGCTTTGTGGCGGATGCTGGTTTTGGGTGAAGATGCAGGTGGGACGGCCCAGCTGGTGGGTTAGCAGAGCTCAGGGCTGCGGTCATTTAAACCACGGGTCCTGTAAGTGTCCTGAGACATCTGCTCAGGCCGGTAACGCCGGTTAATGTGCTTAAGCATGACTCAAGCCCTCCTTCCCCAGCCTCTAGCCCTTAGCCTGGACTGGGCGTCGCTCAGGTCCGGCCATGACTCTGAGTGGCTTCGGAGCGGAGGGGGTGGTGGTGTGTGTGTGTGTCTGTGTGTGTGTGTGTGTTTGTGTGTGTGTGTGCATGGTTACCATCATGGCCGGACCCTGCAGGTGTAGTGTAACTTGTTCTGCTGCTCCTGGCTGAGATGATAGCTTGACTCGTAAAAGATCTGACTAAATAAACTATGTCAAACTAAATCTCTGTGAATGTAAGACACGGGGTTTGCTGTGTGACTGTCAGTACTATATTAATAGGATAAGGAAAGGCTGATTTGTTTGATGTCAGGGGAGAAAAATGATCAAACTGGCCAAGTGTGGTTTTTGGATAGGTTTGGCCGGCTGGTTCCCTGTAGCTGCAGGGAACGGTACCAGCAGCTTTTTTGGGAAGCGGGGGGGCGGTGTTTTTTCTGGGGAGGCTGTCGGCTGTTAACCTTTTGCGGCCATCTTGCAGAGGGGGCCCCCGGCCCTCAGCGCCGACGCCCCTGCCTGGGGATGAGTCTCCCTGCCACTAATTGAGGCAGGCGGGGGCCGCCGTGCTGCCCGGGTGGTGCCAATTAGCAGCGATAAACAAGGCCCTGCTGCACCCCCCCTCTCTCCCCCCCCCCGGCGTCTGCGCGTATCTTTCCACCCAGCAGAGCGGCTGGGAACTTGGCAGCGTTAGCTTGTTGCTAAGGGCTAACCCCAGCTCCTTCATTAAATCCACCCGCTAGACGATAATGATGGAATCATGTCAGTTCAGACCAAAACAAAGCGATTTCGCTGATAGATTATAAATTAGTTTAACACGCAATGCAGAAATGTATTAAATCGTAAATATGCACGTTTTTGTACCTTCCTTTTCGGATTAACCTCATTTTAAATGTTTGACTGTATAGCATATGAAATGTTTACCCCAAAGTGGGTAGTTTTATTCATTTTCACCACCTTTTATTGTAAATGGATAAAGTGTGTTTCCTCTGTAAAAGATTTGTGAGTAGGGTTCGAGGGATGTGTTGGAAGTGTGTTCTGGAAGGTTCCACCGTGCGGGCAGGCAGCCGCTTTATTGCTGAGCATGGTGCATTAAGGGGCCGTGAATCGCGTAGCTATGAGTGTTGGGCGATTCTCACCCAGATGCCCCAGCAACTGTCCGGACCCCAGTCGGTTTAATCACTAATACCTGTGAGCACTTCTTTTAAATCTGATAAATCGGTTTGTTTATTTATTACCCGCTGACCTAAATGTCCCTGGAGGGGGTGCTGTACTGTACCCCTGAGAGGGCCGTGTGCTCTGCACCTCTGTGCTAACACCTAAACTGAGTGCATTATAGCACCTGCGAAGCTAATGAATTGTTTGAATGAATTACTCCTCATGTTTGTGGTTTGGGGTTGGGTGTTGGGTGTGATTGATTTAATGTTATCGCAAAAGGATCTTGCGCGCTAATTACACCCTTAATTTGTTGCCCATCCTGTACGCGGTCTGAATGCGCCGGCCCGCGGCTTAGTCAGACGCACGGTATCTGCAGCGAGCCCCAGTGGGGGTCGGAGGCCTTTAAACCGCGTTATCCTCACACAAAC